AATTATATAATAAATTATATAATAATTTAATTATGTAATTTAATATTATTAAAAGGAAGATAAAAAAATTAAAGAGCGTATTTTTGGTTTAAATTTGATTTTGTTGCATGACTTGTTTCAAGATGACATTTTTAACAGTGCACTTACTGCTCTTCGCATCTTTTCATTGTATTTGTAGGGATTTCACGCAATCTTGTCGATTCTTGGTTTGTCACCTTGTTTTGCAAAGCTGCTGGTACATGAATCGTTTGACACAGTCATTTTCTACCAGATGTCTATGTGTTTCACTGATCAGCGAGATCGACAGGTATCTTGTCTTTTGACTGCTCCACATCTGAAAAATTCTGATGCCTTTTAATCCTAACTTTGATTGTTTGTCTTCCCATTCAGTTTCAAAGCCTGTGTTGTAAATGCTTTGCTAAAATAGCTGAGAATGATGATTTAAAAAATACGATGCTGGAAAAAGCATGTATCGAGTACAATAGCATTATGGCTGAATGTTTACTCTTGCTGGGAGCTGATATTAATAAGAAGACAAAGACGAACTCTTTGATCTATCAGGTAGTATATGAAAATATATGTAGTTCTATTGCTTTAAAATTGTCCTTTTGGTTTCCTTTCTCTTTTTTTTGTGTACCTGTATATGTCAAAACACAGGTGCACTTGCTGGTGCAGAGAGTCCTGAGCGTGCTGAGTGTTGTTAACCATTGCTGCTCCTGATGGCTTGAGGCCCAGTCTGGCGTTCATTGAAACACCTTTTACTTTGTATTGAGGCTCACAGGGTCCCTGTCACCTAGAACGTGCCTGCACTGCTAGTCCAATTCTGATGCAAGTTCATTTCAAAGTGCAGGCTTTCTGAGTGTTCTCACAGTGCAGTGCACGAGCAAACCCGAGTTCACTCAGGTACTGACTTAGCCTTAGTTTTAGAGTATTTTTGAGGAAGAAAGCCTAAGCCAAATCTTCCCAAATTCCCAGGCATTTAGTTTGAGTGGATCAGGCATAGATGGTGTCAACCCCATTAGAGCCCAGTCCATGAACGGATACTCTGAATTCAGCTCTTCCCAAGCACTATGAGGCCAAACTACAGCTAGCCCACCAGGCAACACTGTGGATACATAGGTTTCAGTGTGCTTAGTCTCACTCTTATGCTCTGTTTTAGACTTGCAATAAAGGCTTTGCCTCAGGATACCTGCCCTCGAATGGCAGATCTTTTATTTTGTGCAGCACTTCACGATCAATACAGTCAAAGATTTTTGCACTGATTTAATTGTTCTGATTTTAATTGTGACTTTCTATCAATATAGCTAAAAATATATAAAATCTTGGATTTACTGTAGTTGCGCTGGCAGGAAAGAGCTGTATCAGGACAGTGGCCGCAGTATTTGAAAGCGTTGGTTTCTAAACTAAGGCTATGAGCAAACAACCCATCTGGATTCAGCCATGCCAACAGATGAAGCTGTTGTTCACACCTGCTTATAAGTGTTCCCTGCTAAATGTGACTGTCTTTACAGTTTGTGTGAGCAGTTCTTAATTTTGCTTCAGTGTCAAAAGTTAAAATGCTGTGTCTGAGATAACCTCAGCAGTATTGCCTGAAGTGAATTAGGAAGTGTTCCTATGAAGAGTTCTGCCTGCAGAGCTGTCTGGGTGAAAAAGCACAGCTGGGTCAGGACCAGACCATCCATTCACGGAGTCTTTGAGAGGGGCAAATCAGTGTTAGTGAACCACAGTGAAGATATCAAAGTAGCTGACAGTATTTCTAACAAGTATTTGTAATATTCACAGTCAGCACTGCTGCCTGTAGCCATACGGGTTGAGAGATTGGAAGGGGCAGAGCTGATCGAAGCCAAATAAGCCAGTGGACCTGGCAGCTCCCTAGTGTTAGGCAAGGGGTGATGAGTCTCACCATTATTGTCCTTTCATCTGATATCAAAAGAACAACTAAGTGCAGATGCCATAGACACAACGCACTAATCAAACTACGCACGTTACTCTTCATTTTGGCTGAACAGTTGTGTACGTTCATGGTGGAAATTACAATTACATATCTCAGGCATTTGCCATATTTTGGTCAAAGACTCTGGAAAGTGGTAGCTGGTACTCAAATCCCTTAGGCAGGTATACACAGTGAAATATAGGGATTTGTGTGATTGAAAAATAACCACGATGTTAAAAATGCAATGCCAACTGAATTTGAGTTAAATTTCTTACTGCAATCTGAGCTGTTGTTCAAGTCTTTCACAAAATTGTTTTAATTGTTTTTCTATGTTAGGTTTGTGAGAAAGGAAATAATCCTAAATTGGTGGAATTGCTACTAGCCAATGGTGCTCGAGAACAGGATGTTCGGTGTGCTTTAACCATCAGTATAAAAAAAGGAGATAGCCAAATCATCAGTTTGCTCTTAAAGAAGCTTAGTCTTGATGTAGCCAACAGCAGTATATGTCTTGGAGGATTTGGTATTGGAAGACTTGAACCTTCCTGGCTCATTCCTTTGTTCCCAGAAAAACTTACTCCTTCAAGAAAACAAAGTGAGTCTACGTACAATTTGCTATGCTAAATGTGTTAATATCTCTTGATGGTATTATATTAGTGTTTTAGGGCAAGATCTTCAGTTGAGGATCTCTTCATTGTGCTCAGCCTGTTGTTGAATAACTGTTTAACCTTGAAAATAAGATCAATCGGGTATTTCTGTTGTGATTTTTAATGCTTTGTGAATTTATTGGAGAACATGTTATCTTCTTGGTTTCTAGATGCAGGTTCTGCCCTGGCAAGAATGGTGCTTAGATACCAGATGAAGAATATTTCAGAGGATAAATCAAGACCCTACTCTGATTTAAACTTCTCTGAAGAGGGAGTGGATAAAAACTACGACTGGAATTTTATTTCTGACCCAATAGTGGACAGTGTTTTCCCTTTAAATGATGATATTGATAGTGAAGGTAATTGTTTTCTTGTAATTTTGTCTTTTTATGATCCTAGTCTAGCATACCAGGACTAGACCACAGCTACAAATTCCTTGAAAGTAATTAGGCAACTGTGAAACTAATCAGCTAAGGAATAAATAATATGTAAAAAAGCCCCCGTTAATTAGTTGTTTATTTGTATTTGAGATTAAAAACACTTCCTATCCGAAAATACTCTCGTCTAAAATTTTGTTTATGGTACCTTCGAAAAATAGTTTATAGTGTGTAAGTATGTGTCTTTACCTGCAAAATTAGGACCTTAAAACATTTTTTTTAGATTATCAACTTCAAATTAGTTCTTCACGCGTTGAGTTGCTTTCCTGTAGAGAGAGAGGGTAGGATTCAGCCAAGCAAATTCAGACATCAACTGTTTTGATACCTGTTTCTGAGCTAATCTTGTAGACTTCCTTTATAGTCAGTGGCAAAAAATAAATGCTTCAGGACCACAATTCATCTCCTCATAAATAAGCCAGATAAATTGTGATCTAGAAACACCGTGTTCCCTGGACTGAAGTGCACACAACTAAGTCTGGTATAGAGGACTGTATTGTTAACGTATAAATTAGGTGAAATAAACCCTATCCAAATGATATTTAGTTGATCAGAAAGTGTAAATGGCAGGGCTGTATTCAATCCAGTGTCATTCTTGGCAGGCAGGCCAAGAGGTCTGAATGCCTTTCACTTGTAAAAAAAACAGCATTTCTGTCTATAATATCAGTATTTTGATAAAAAGAGTGAGTGGCCTCATTTTACAACGTGGCTTTCGTTTGTTCAGATATCACTGTTGTGTTTTAGAAGTGCTAGCTTACCTAAAATCATCACAGATGAAGAATTTGAATTTTGGAATCAGAATCCTAATGATTTTTTTTTGTTCTCTCTTTTGTTCTCTTCCTTCGCATCATTCGGCACTGTTTTTCATTTCTGTAGTACTATAGCACAGACATGCGATAGTGGGAGGTACTGTTTGTTGTCCCACGTAGAAAAGTTGTTAAGTAATGTTTAAATTATGGTAAAAAGTATCAACTTTACTAACAGGAATGATTTCGGGAATTACCTAGGAATTATAAGTGATGTTTAGGCAGCTCTGAAGGGAGGAATACTAGGTGCATCCAGATGACCTCAGGTTGCCAAAGCCAGGAGCAGGAACTTGATGTTTCATTCTCAGTAAACATAGGAGTGCAAATGTGTTTTTAAATAAAATGTAATTTAAGTAAAAATCTATTTTACGCTGCAGTAGCACAAAAACGTGTTATGTAAACATATACAGTAATACCAACTTACTGGAAATTTTAATGATAAAGCATCAATATAACAAGCTGCGGTTCATATTTGGAGCATGTCAGGTTATTAATAGAGCGTGTTAACATTCTCGGCATATTGCACACAGCATTGACCAGCGAGCTCCTGCTGAGATCGATGTTTGAAATAGGCCTTTCTGTCCTGTGTATGTCAGCCTCTATATTGCAGTTGAATTCTAAGTCTCAGCTTTAAATGCATTTTCTTATTTTTCTGCCCTGCTCTGTTATTGCTTTGTAGTAGGAAGTGAAGGTTCATTTTTTACAAAAAAGAAGTCCAATTCCATCACAGTTGCTGATTTATACTGTAGGGAAACAGCCTTACAAAGAGGTTCTCCTACTTTGCCACGCCATTCCTACTCTGTGGTAAGTCAGATTGTTATTCGTTCCAGGCTCCCTTTAAATCCATCAGTGTTGCGTACTGTAAAACTGTTAATAAAGTGTTAGTAAAGGTCTTGTAACCATATGGACCCTTGTGTCACTGTTCCCGTTTAGTTTTCCCTTCTACTGCCGTGCAATTACTATGCTCCAATTCAAATCACTGTGTAGATGAGAGTTTATACCAGCAAAATTTGTGATCGATGAATAGATATGTAAGTGTCTTTGTGAATTGCTCAAATTTCCAGTCTGATGTTTTAATACCTTACAAATGCAAATACAGCAGCTGAGGGCCTATTCACAAGTGCTAACTGTCCTCTAGTAAAGCTAGTCTCTATAGACTGCCACTTGATCAGTGAAGAGGGACTTCACTAGAGGACAAATCAGTGAAATCAATGTCATCTTCATTTGAAGGAGCTTATCAATTTCCACTGACTGTAAAGGGAAACTAGAGAGACCAGCTTCCTTAGAATAAAGGTAATTTCAGTAAATATCCTTCTCCATCCTATCACCCAACCCTAGTGAGAGTCATTTTAGGTTGCCAAAAATGCACTACTTCCATTACATTTTAAATCTTCTGTTGTTTCATACTGCACGTGTCAGCAATTTTTAGGAAGGTGTGACATGTTTTTTATTTTTGAGGGTTAAAAAGTACAGTCTGTTTTTGTTGCCCCATGAAAGTTCTCTCAAAAAGAAACCACGATTAAAAGAAATGTACTGAATTCAATGATTTCAGATATCTGCATGTATCCAGACTTGTTGGATTTTTGTTCTGTTTTGGGATTTTCCAGGGACCTGGCTCAGATTATGAACCGTTAGTGAAACAAAGAAGAAAATTACTGCTTTCAGATGAATCTCCCAGTAAGTAAATTATGCAATTTAACATTTATAACAGATTTTTCAGACTTGTAAGTATATATAAGTATACTTATGCAAGTATAACATGCAAAAATTTATCTAGAATATGGATTTGTTTATAAGAGAAGGATACATTTGGAAATACTACAGTAGAGTACAGATAACATATGTATAGTGAAATATCTTCTTCCTGGGCTTTGTAAATAGTTTAGGTAGAGCTCTACAGACAATGTAATTTCATGAGTACCCTTATTAGCTTTCGAAAGCTGCTGCTTCTGTTGTACAGCACAAAAGTGTCTGTCTCTTCCCTAGTCTTACAGATTTGTCCCTTAGTAGACATCTTTATTGAGTCAAATCTTAACCAATATCCAGAAATTCACTCTCATACATTTTTAATCCCAAGTTGATTGATCTTAGTTTTAGTTACGTGATAAATGAAATAATACTACTAATTCATTGCGTATTTTCCCATGCTTTTCTTTTAATAGAAGGAATCTCAAAATTCTCACCACATTTAAGGCCATCAGACAGCCTTTCTTCACTGGTCTCAGAGAAAGAATACATTAAATCACTAGATCTTTCATCAAATGAGCTGGAGAACATTGATGCCATCAGTCAGAATAGCTGCTTAACTAGTCACCTGGAACATCTTGAGAAACTGGAGCTCCACCAAAATGCTCTCACAAGCATTCCTCAACACCTTTGCGAAGTAATTCTGCATAGTGTTATGTAATGCAAATTGAGTTTATCTACAATCCGTTGTTTGTCTCTAACAGTGTACTCATAACAATACTGCTCAAGAGTATGGGTGTAGATTTTTGCGTATTTAATTTTGCACTCAATTTTCATCCAATGGATTTACGTGCAGCATGTGTTAAACAAATTCATGGAACTTTATTAAACCATTTACTGCAAAGGACAGCTCTAGGATGTGTGCATTGTAGTGAGTAATGCAATTAGGTAAATGAAACTGAGACCTGCAGGCAATTCTTGCCAGATTTTAGGAAACTGAGCTAATTAGTTTTATAGAATGCTTTACGTTTTATTTTTTTAACAGCAGTGTTATGGATTACTTTAGTATGACTGCTGTTCTCTGCTCTTTTTGCTGATAAGGCAAATATAATTAAAGTAATAAATTACATAACAGAACTCAGTTTAGAACTTATATATTCACATTTTTGTTTCATTTTTTAAAAACAAATTCTCCTTTTCTTTCAGAACATGAAATGTTTGACTTATTTGGATTTGCACAGTAACCGATTTACATCCTTTCCTGTTTATTTACTGAAAATGAATTGTATTGCAATCCTTGATATCTCTCGAAATGACATTGGCCCTTCCTTTGCTTTGGATCCATACATCAAATGTCCAACTCTAAAGCAGCTTAATCTATCATACAATCAACTGGTGTGCACTCCTGAATTTCTTGCAAATGTTGCAGAAAACCTGGAACAGCTCTTGCTAGAAGGGTAAGAGTAGTATCGATAAATGGACTGTAGTATAACAAACATAGCAGAAAATAATGTACTTGTCATCCTGTGTTACTGCACAGAAAGGATCATTTAATCAGTAATTAAGCATTATTTTCTAAATGTGTAAATTGCTACAATTGTTATTGTTAAATTATAAAGTATATTAGGTTACGTGAGCTTTGATAGAATTTAATAACATTGCAAAACAAAACAGTTTCAGGAACAGTTCCTGCATTTTTCAGCATTTTTCTACTGTTGTGCTACTCGTCCGAAGAATTCTTTGTGTTACCTAACATATATAGCTGCTTTTTCTGTTACATACATTACATACATTTGACTGTATTTCAAAACCAAGGTTTTTTCAGAAGTATAATTCATGGAATTATGTTTATCGATACAGGTATATTTTAAGTGACAGAAGTAGATAAAATACATAATTTTTGGTGTACGAGCACTTCTTACCATATTTGTTAGTGAAATAATTCATACTGTATAGAAAATTCTTACCGATACCATTATTGATAGTTCTGTAAACTACAGATACCGTCTCATACGTCTCCCATCATTTGTTATTTTAAATAAGGTTGTGATATTTTTTACCACACAAGATAAAGATAGTAAGATATGTAACTAAACCAAACAATATTAAAGAATTGAATGAGAATACCCAGACCGAAGATTTTAAATTTGCAGTCTTATTGCAATTCCTCATTACATTTATTTTTAATATTATTTTAGCAATATTACCCTTGCAAAATAGTGCTGCATGGTCCTTTTTATCCCTGCATTTTTCCAGCATCTTTGCCTCTTTCTGATGTTGTTCTTTCTATAATACGTTGTTTGTAACATGACATATAAATCCTAAATTCCCGCCGTGGAATTTCATTCTTTTTTTAAAATTGACCATCATTCTGTGATCATAATCCTGCAGAAGAACACCTTTAGTAAATAGATCTACCCACAAATGTGTCAGTCCCCCTTCTATGAGTTTGAACTGCGGTATATAATTGGGAAATGGCACCTTATTGTACATTCTGACATTTACTCTACAGGTTAATTAAAATAATCCAAATATCAGTCCTTGTTATTTCATGTTGCTGCATACCCCAATATTTTGGCTGACTGGTCAATCTTTATTTAGACGAAATTCTTAACTTTGGTTTATCTGTGTAAGGATAGCAATGTCAGGTTGATACTCCTTACTTTTGTTTTTCAGCTAATAGTTTCTGGGTAATACTTGGCTTTTTTTTTTCTTCTCATTATCACAGAAACAAAATTTCCTGCTTATGTTCACCCATATGCTTAAAAGAGCTGAAAATTTTAAACATTAGTAAGAATAATATTTCAGGCCTTACTGAGAATTTCTTCATGGGCTGTATGAAGCTGGAGCTGTTCAACGCCAGGATGAATGCCCTTGGTAAGCACCTAAGAAAACAGCATCCACCTTCTAGAAACTTTTCCAAGTCACAGAATTCCTCAGCCACCAGCAGTTGCCGTCCGGGAGGGCAGTCAAGGGAAACATGTGCTTGTCCTTATTTAAACTCTTCCCTAGGCATCAGCTTTTGGTCACGGCTGGAAACGGTATATAGGGCTAGATGGACCTTTGGTGTGACTCAGCGGGTCTTTGCTACTATATTCATAGCGGACGCTCTAAAAATGGTTAAGTGTAGCTGAGGTGATATGTACCATTGTGTAAGGTTCAAGACAGTGAAATTGTTTAAAGCTAGGTCTTTTTCTTTTTTCAAGCTAGCACTGTACTGAAATACGTATCAACTGCTGACACACTATATCCAGCATTGACTTCTTGAATAAGTTAGAATGTTTGATTTAGTCATGTAGATACAGGTGTCAGTTGAAATGCCCTGAAGTATCCCACTTGGCCTATGGCTGCTGGTGCAGAAAACGCAGGTCTTCCTTGGATCCTGTGTTGTATTTCCGCGCTGCGTGCAGATAGCTCAGGTACCGCAGCGCAGCTCACCATCTCACTGGACTCCTGTATTTAAGCAATTGAACTGAATGTGTTTCAGTAGCTTAACTTATTTTGTGCAAAGGTTTCAAAACAAATTTACCTATGAAAAATACAGCTGACATAAATGAAATTTTAATGATCTTGTGGGAGTTGGTAAGTTATTTTTCGAATGTATTTCCCTCTTCAGGATATAAACATTTCTATGTTGAATTTTTTTATTGTCACAGTATTTCAGAAGGTAGGTCTTATATGTGCAATGATTGAACACAGCTGAACCGTTAAAATCATTTTTATGTGCTTATGACCTACCGCAGACTGGCTGAATGATAGGAGTATTGCATATATTGGCAATACAGTGAAGTGTGAATAAGATTATTTCAGTGTTTAGTGCCAGTATGAGACTAAGTGAAATAGGATGTAGTGTGATAAAAGCCCATACTTTAACTCTGTTCTACACTCCTTTCATTTTAGGAGTTCAGTTTTAAATGAACTTAAAAATAAGGTTCAGATTCTGCCTTTGGCAGCTTGTATAAGGGCCTGTGTATATAAGATAATAGACTAACCTTTCAGTCTGCCTCTGATTTTAGAAAATTCCAGTCTTAAGCAGTGCTCAAAAATAATGGAATTAACCCCTTTTTCTGTTCTAGAGAGAATACCTGATTTGTCCTCCAGCATAACAAGTTTAAAATTATCTCAGAATCGTTTTATTAATGTTCCAGAAACAATTCTCCTCCTGCCACAGTAAGTTATTATTTTAGTTATTGAAGTTAGTCATGTTCTTGATGAAGACAATCTGAAGACAAGACTTTTGTTTAACGGAATATTCAGCATGTTTTACTCATATTCAGGGAATTCTCTTTAAAAGGTTAAATCCAAAACTTAACAGCTTTTAACTGAAGCCAAGCAGTCATATTTTCTTCATTATTTGGAGAAATATTATTCCTCAGATAAGTCCAGACTACACAAATCATCTTTGTTAAACATACCTTCCTTTACTGCTGAAGCTGACGATTCTTGCTTAGAAGACCAGAATGAATTTATTTTTCTCTCGATCCCAACAAAGTAAGAAGATATTGGCAATTTTTCCTTTTCAACAAGTTCTGCAGCTTCAGATTTTTGCAAAAGGCTACTGAGATTAGTGTTTCACTTCCCAAATAAGACAAGGTATTTATTCTCAAAGAATGACACTTCCTCTTAATAGAATTGTGATAGAGATGCATGTGACATGCATTTTTCTATACCTTTGAAGCATTACTCATGTGGAAATCTGAACTTCCACTTTTTTTTATAGAAGTTGCTGACCTCAACAGGTCGCTGGAATCAGGTGGTAGGAGGAGTGACTGACTGGAAGGGATGATCAGTTTTCTGATAGGTGTGTGTAGATGTGAGTGCTGATGGCCCCATGAGGGGGAGCAGGTCAAGAAAGAGGACTGATGCCTGCAAGGTAATTGAAGAAAGTGGATCTAATAAAGCTGAGATGGAAAGAGTAGGAGGAAAGAATAAGCATATTCTTCTGAGCACAGAAACAATCAGATCTGGACAGTATTGTTAGTCTATATAGGTAACAGTTCAATACTTTACTTTAAAAAAAGACTTGTGGACTTACATTAATCAAAATTAAATAAAGTACGTCACTATTAACATGACTAACCAAATGCTGTCAAGAATGTTACACTGTGCTGGCATGCTAATGTTTAAACTCACAGTAGCAAATCCAGTGGATGTGTTGAAAAAGATGTAGCTTTCAGGTTCCACATCTCCCAGCCCAGACAAGTCAATAAGAAGTTGCATTAATTTCTTGGCATGGTTCATGCTACGCAGTGAAATAAACGCAACATATTTATCCAACAGATGACATATTAAGAAGAAATGTTTGTAATCCAAGTACTTTATTATGTGGTTCTCAAGTATACCTATAGTTGAACTATATAATTTATGCATATTTATACAAACGTATATTCTTAGAAGCATTCTGAGAAAAGCACAGTGAGATATCCGTACCATCTGATGTTAATGTTCTAAGTCAGGAGCAAGAAGGAGAACATTTCAGATGACTTCAGCTAAGTGAGGCTCCGTAGACTATAAAGGGAATCTTGAGTTCTGAATAGTAGATAATATCAGGAGCTTCCCTGTTGCTTTTTTTAAATATGAAGCATATGAAGCACATGATTACTGTTATGTGAGATTGAAATTAACATTTTAAATATATTCACTGTAGTAAGTTTGATGTTGCACCTAACAGTGTGCTTCACGGTCCTGTGCTCACGTGTAACTGGAACCATGAGCCAAATTCTGTTCTCTGATACCTGGACGTAAACTTGTGGCAACTATATTGCTCACAGTTGAATTACTGAGTGTTTGCCCTATGAAAGTGTGAACGATATTTATCTGTGTCTTCTAATCTAAATAAAGCCATACATATTTCCGTAGTGTAGAAAGAGGAAAAAAGTTTACTGTTATCCCAAAATAATGTGTGTGCACTAATTTAAATTGGTTTATCAATTTTCTGTCTGAAACATATGACCTCGTACAATCTGAGTGTTTATTTTCATAACCAGGCAACTTCATTCACAGGTAAATAAATTGAGGGCGTATTATACTGAGCAGTCATATATATTTACATTTTCTTATTTTTTATCTTAGACAATAAAAATCTACTGGCAATATCATCTTAGTTACTTTTGCTTATAATAGTAATTCTCTGTTTTCCCATCGACATTCCTCTCAGAAGACTATCTGTTTCGATAGCTACTGCATTTATTTATTAAAACTTCATATAATCTTAGTTAATCTCAATTTTATTTGGTTTTTTTGCTAACTTTCCTCTTTTGTATTTTCTTGTTTTTAGTTTGCGATCAGTAGACTTAAGCCAAAATGAGATCATAAGCCTGCCTGGGCCAGTGCACTGGAAATCATTAAATTTAAGGGAGCTGTTATTTAATCACAATCAAATAGGCGTCTTGGACTTGAGTGAAAAGGCGTGTGCGTGGTCTAGGCTAGAGAAACTACATCTGTCCCATAACAAGTTAAAGGAGGTAAAGTATGAGATTCTGCCTCAAAAAATGAAATCACTTTGCAACTTAATGCGGTTTTTCAATATTCATTTGAGTTTCATGTCACCCCCTCGTATCACTGAAAATTCTATTAATAAAATGGTGAATGAAAATCACCGTATTAAGCTTTTCTATCCTGAATATATCATATAATCAGTTTTCATAAATGAATTCATTATGAGCTCCTTTGTGTATTGGTCAGGAATGTTAACCCTGTTTATTAAAAAAGTGTAAAGTACAACTGTGAAAATAATACCCAATTTTATTAAATATTTAAGCCATTCATGCTCATAAAAATAAAGGCTTATTTTTTCAATGTTTAGTTGTCCACTAATTGTTCTTTTATCTAGATTCCTCCTGAGATTGGCTTCCTAGAGAACTTGACTTCTCTGGACGTAAGTCATAATCCCGATTTGAGATTCTTTCCAGATGAAATGGGAAAGCTATCCAAAATCTGGGATCTTCCTTTGGATGGACTACATCTTAATTTAGATTTCAAACATGTGGGATACAAAGCCAGAGACATTATTAGGTTTGTTGCCATATTGTTCTTCAGCATTTTTATTTTGCTTTCTTGGGGTAGGCAGCCAGCAGTAAGGAAACAACACATCCTTTTGCAAAGAACTGCTGATTCGTCATACGATACCCAGCTTAGCTGTGACTCCGTTGAGCGTAGCCTTTACCATACCCACGCATGTAAAATAGATTATAACCATATAAAAAAATACAGTAGTATTAGTTCACGAATTTGTTGATGCTTCTATAAACCATGTAATGAATTTTTTCTTACATGTTTTTTGTGTTCCTAAGAGATGCACATTACGGAGTAGTTACAAAACAAAAAGACACATTATGAATTAAGCTTTGACTTTTGAATCAGAAATTAGAACAGGCTGCAAAAGTCTCAGTAACATCAATCAGATATTTAAAATTTGAAGTAAATGGTGTCTGTTAGCATTTTTGCCTGGTCTTGAGTTCTTTTGGTGTTTTCATTATTATGCGCTTATGTGAGTTCTGCAAACTCTCTCTTATGCCAGATTTCTTCAGCAAAGACTGAAGAAGGCTGTGCCTTACAACAGAATGAAACTCATGATTGTTGGAAATACTGGCAGTGGGAAAACAACACTGCTACAACAGCTAATGAAATGTAAACGAACAGAATTGGGATCTCCAAAAGCTACAGTAGGCATTGATGTAAAAGACTGGATCATTCAAGGGAAAGGCAAAATGAAGAAAGAGCTTATATTAAATGTCTGGGATTTTGCAGGTATTTCAAGAGCTTGTTGCCCTTTATTATGGTGTTTTCTAATACATTAATGCCTTGCTTATTCTTAGAATCAGCCCGTAACATTTCAAATTGTAGACAATAGAATCATGCAAACTTATACCAAAGGTCAAATGACCAATTATAAATTAGTGAATTCCTCAAATTTCCTATAGTCTGAGGAATTTCTCGTTGCCAAACATAGTCTGATCCCCCGTTTCAGCCATAGTGCTCTAGAACTGTGATTTCAGAATCGTAAGAAACTTGCTGTGTGGTCACGTAAATACCGCCTCTACCACAGTGTATAGGCCCAGAGGAGCAGCATTCAAGCTAAATGTCCAACTTCAGTTGTGACACACTGTGATTTTAAGTGCTTAATTGTGTGAATTTAGCCCTCTGTTATTTTGAAGTTGCCGGAAGGATGGGGGAGAGGAATTTAAAAAAGAGGGAATTTAAATTTTGGTATTTAGAAATTCAGTATTGGATTTTTAAAAGAATTATGACCTTCCAATTTCTCTTTGTGGTGACCATGTTTATCCAGTTATTGGAACTTACACCTCTTAATTTGAAACTAGCTTGCTTATTTCAACACTGCAAGTCAGTCAGTGAGATACCTCAGAGTACTTACCCAAAATTCACTGTTATTGTAGATTTACTGTCCATTTAGATAAATTTTTGTAGACATTAGTTTCATTTGTGGAGTAGTGATCTGAGAACAAGTCATGCTCTACTGCCTTTTTGTGATCTGAAGATGTTCATAAGTGAAGTCCTAAACCAGGGGTGTTTTTTATCATTAGGACAAGAGGAGTTCTACAGCACCCATCCTCACTTTATGACCCAAAGGGCTTTATATCTTGCTGTATACGATCTCAGCAAAGGAGAAGCAGAGGTGGATGCTATGAAGCCGTGGCTTTTTAATATCAAGGTATTAAGCAATACATGTGTTACAGAATGGATTTCCATTTTCCAGGAAGCTGTTGGTAAACAGTGACTTCACTACAAACTTTTCTGAGGGAGGGGAGAAAGAAAGGCGCTCTTCAGCAAATAAGACCAGTAAAATGAAGCAAGACATGCATATTACTGGATGTGAAAATATGTGCAGACATATAAAGGCATGATCCAGCACTATTTTGTACTTAAAATGGCACAGAATGGTGAGCAGAAGGATAATTTGCATGTTCTGACAATATTTGAATTTACTGATAAAAATAAGAAAGCAGCAGTATTCAAGAGATGAGAAGAGTTAGGCTTTCTCATTCTTTTACACCATTGCAAATTCTGAAGAAATCAGAATTTCACTAATTCACAACTGACTAGATGTGGGCTTGAAATCATGCTGTTAAGTTTATGCTTAGCATCTTAAAATTAACAGGGATGATTCTAGGGTTACAATATGGAAGCTGGGTGTAGAACCTGCCTGTTCATTTTTATTTTGCTACAGATGTTTTATTTTCATTCCAAGGGTGAGCATTACTCGTGTTGCTTTCGGTCTGATGTTCGCCATGGCTGGGCAATACAGTTACATCAAGATTTTGTATACTGACCCTTTTTGTTAACCTTGGTTTTTTCATTCTTTTTCACCTTGAGCAGAGATGGTCAGAGAGCCACAGTCAGTTAAGTTTTGAAGACGACCATTTCGAATATACTCTCCTTTGCTATAGAATGCTTGCTACTATTTCATTGCTATGCTTTTCCCATGATAGCTAGCAGTTTGCTTTTCAATTTGTTTTTTTTAATGAAAAGTGCAGTTGCCCCTCTCTCTTACTGACAGTGTTGCAACAATGAGATCCAGATCTAGATTGCTTCCTTTAAAATCATAATAGTTTGAATCCCTATTTTGATTTAGACTGCTCTCTATTTGTAACAAATATGTTACAAATACATAGACTGATAGCATTTTATTATCTTGTTCGATCAAGGCTATTACATGGGTTTGTTGTTTAAAATTACTCTGAAAAAAAGATGTGAAGTAGTAATTTCACATTTAGATCTGCCTGTTATTCAAACTCATTTAAAAGAGCTTGAGCTTAAAGAGAGGAAGAAGCAATTGCTTTTTTTAGTTTATTGGGTGGTTTGACTAAGTTGTTCACATTTTATATGCACATCAAAAAATAGCATCAAAATTCACCATTGAGATCATAAATTGTATGGATCTTACTAACAGGCTCGAGCTTCAACATCCCCTGTCATTCTTGTTGGCACTCATTTGGATGTTTCTGATGAAAAGCAGCGTAAAGCCTGCATGAGTAAAATTACTAGGGAGCTGCTGAATAAGCGAGGCTTCCCAGCGATCCAAGACTATCACTTTGTGAATGCTACAGAGGAATCTGATTCCATTATCAGACTTCGGAAGATCATAATAAAGGAGAGCCTTCACTTCAAGGTAAGCCTACCTTGATGCTGTTTGTAATGTTGAAAACATCCTGGTTTTAATTAAATGCATTTTTAAACACATTAATTAAACACATAAATACATTTGTAGAGTGATAGCAAACTCATCATGCCTTATGTAAAACCTGAGATAAAGCAATATAATGAAGGAAAATCACCAACTTTGATTTCCTTTCTTTTTCTACCAAAAAAATTAGCTTAGTAAAAATCTCAGCTAAGGATAAGTTTTGTTGGTGAACAATAGGACTATTAATTGAATATTTAATTGAAAATTGGTAGTCTTTTTCTCATGGAGAAATCTGATCAAAAACAGTTTGTTCGATGGCAGCAGCTAATTGCAATAGTGCAAGATTTCAGGGGTCAGGAATAAGATTTTGTGGATGAAAACAGGAAAAGAAGATCCCCCTAGACTGAATGATCTTCCTCAACTGGAGAATCTGCGCTTGTGTTTCTGTAGTCTCCAAAGCCATCCCTACCACTCGTTCCCTGCTGTCGTCTTAGCCACAGCATCCCGCTCTGTCAGAGTGGGAGTGACAGGTATGAGGAACCTAGCCCAGACATGGAGCTTATAGAAGGATAAGGCCCAATTTAGAGCAAAAAACCTATTTTTATTTTATTATTTATACAATGTCATTGTATAAATAATGCCATGTAACATGTATACAGTGCCATTACATGTTAAAGAGAAAAGGTGATCTCTTCTGCTACTGAAGACAAGAGTAAAACTTCATAAATCACAGCAGAGCCCAAATTTTTTCTGCATTACTGCTCTGAAGATTTTAAAGGACAAATGCTGTATTTATGACTAGCCTCAAAGTGCTGCGTTAGAAAGGAGGGAGAGAGTGCAAACTCCTCTTTTTCTTCTCTCAGCAACCACCAGTTCAGCAACATCCGTAATCTGCCTAACTTCATTCCACAGTTCAAGGGATAGCAAACCATTGCTAAGCGGCAGCAAGTTGGCCAGTTGAGGTGGAATGAAATATTTTCACTTCTTATGCATCCAGAAGACACAAACAGAGCAGATATGTGTAAAGATATGTGAAGTCCTACATCTCACTATATTTTTTCAGCACTCGGGAGACATTTTGCTTTTTGAAAACACCTCCCTCCTAAATACGTAAAAATTGCTCCTCTAGCATCCACATCTCTTGGGACTGTGTTATACACTGATGTTTAAACTTCCACCACATAAAAATGAGGTAGCCAGAAGGAAAGGAGATAATTTCCATATATAATGTAGACATTTTGTGAAAGGAGAATTACTCGATGCCTAGTTAGAAGTTAGGCAAAGTGACATAAGTATTAACCATTGTCATTAAGAGCTTTGAATCTTTCAAGATTTCATAAGGTAGTACTGACATTTTTGACACATAAAAAAAGCCACAGTGCACTGGTGTTTAACTTCAAGAGAAAGATTATAAACTAAGAAGGAAGCCAATCTGGAAAAGTTGGGAAAATTGTTTCCAGTTCCCCCCTCCAGAATGACAACTTTAGTGTCCATGGAGAATGTAAAACCTGATCAGCTGCTAATAGCAGAGGTCAAAGGATGTATCCAAGAAGGAACTCTGGCTACAAGCCTAGGGCTAAGTACCCCACTGTGTTTCACTTCAGTGCTGCTAACCTGGCCAGGCTTACTCCTTCCTCTCCTCCCATCCACTGATCATCACTCAACTGCAGAGACTTTTAATTGAGCAACTACCCTTTTCCCCCCGCTTGCCTAAAGACGTATTTGGAGATGTTGCAGATTACAATGAGTACGCCGTTTTTTTCTTATTCTTTTATTTGCCTATTGTCCTGTGTTATCCTCAAATGTATGACATGATATGTTCATACAGTGGATGCTTTCCTTTTATTTTAAACAAAAGCTTCTCTTTGATCTTTTCAGATGTGTCATTTTTTATTTTTGTATATACATGTATTATGGAAATATTTTCTTCTATGAATATTCATTTGTAGAAAGACATTCATATTATAATTTTGAATGAAAAATTAGTTCCGTCTAGCTTTCAGAAGCCATGTTAGTCAATAAACGAGTGGTTTTGTTCTTTGTTGCCATTACTATTGAGTAGAAACTCCCAGCTTACGTCTTGGTTACATCATATTTTGCATTTTCCATGAATAAATTAATAAATTTGAGATTATTCCTAATTATACAGATCAGAGATCAGCCTGTGGTTGGTCAGCTGATTCCTGACAGCTATCTGGAGCTGGAGAAGAGAATTTTGCTGGAACGTAAAAACGTCCCAGCTGAATTTCCAGTCATTGATCAGAACCGATTGCTACAACTCGTACAAGAAAGCCAGTTACAGCTGGATGAAAATGAGCTCCCTCATGCAATTCACTTTCTGAATGAATCAGGTGAAGTATTAGGTTCGATGTGTAATGTTTGTTGTTAGCGGTTGGCTGCAAATCTGCAGCAGACACACTGGTATGCGTTTTTTAATCTTGTGCAAGATTGTCACAATATGTTGAGCTGAAATGCTAACTTTGGGTAATACTGCAATTTGATAATTCAGATCTTTATGTCATAAGGGAGTTTCATGATATGAAGAATCACTTCATTAACAGTTTATACATCTTACCCCTCTTTGAAAACATCACACCTGCTAGTTAGGTAACAACCTCTGAAGAAAGGTGCAATCACTAGAATAGCTTTAGTAGAATAGCAGTTAGGTGAATATATTTAACAGCATGTATCAGTACCGTGCAGACTTCATAATAATAAATAAAAGCTAACAAAACATTTGGAAATAAAGGTAAAGCTGAACAGACCATGATTGCATTCTGCTCTCTTGAGCAATTGACATAAATTCAGTGATTATTTCTTATTCAAATTGCTCATATCAAGTCATGCAAGAAAGACAGCCCAAAGCTGGATGTTTATTTTGCTTCATATGGAGCTTAAGAAGTGCGTTGCTCATGACAGTGTTCTTTGCACAGGTGTACTGCTTCATTTTCAAGACCCAGCGCTACAGCTGAGAGATCTGTATTTTGTAGATCCTAAGTGGCTGTGTAAAATCATGGCACAGGTTAGCCTCTGATTACTTTATATATTTACATTCATGGAGCTCTTTCCTCTGTCCCAAACCCTGGTAACTTAACAGGCATCCTTTTTCACTATTTCTTTACAATTTCATGACCTAGTCTTTTCTCAGCTCCCAAATGGGTTTACCTGGCTCTTTCTGTGTCCTTTGCATTCTAGGCAAATGTCTGCCTCAGTACTTCCATGTTCTTACGCTGTAATGGCCAATATCGTTTACCCTCCACCGGGTGCAAGAATTTGTGTATAGCAGGAAAACTCCAGGGATGTAAAATATCCTGCAATATGTTCCTATAGGTTGAGGTAAAAGCTGGAACTCTTGATCAAAGTAGTAAGAACAGGGGAAGAAGGGTCGCTGTGTGCTTGGTACAGACAGGAGCTGAAAGCAAGTGATACGGAATCACGTATTGGGACAGGAGAGTAGCAGACTGCCTACATAAGTGAATCCATCATTGATGCGTTAATTTAGAAAAACTCTCCAGTTTTTAGATGTTTGTTCAGATTTCCCAGCTTCTGAAATTTTACCTCGCGTTCAGTGGAGGAACTGGTGTTGCAAGAGTGTGAGTGTGAGCCTTTAAAGGTCCTGGGAGTGAGAGAAGGCCTAGCAAGTCAAGTAGTCTGTGCCAGTCTACTTGTGTGAAGTGCTGATGTGAAAAATCACAGCACATAGGTTCCTTTCTGACAGTGCTTTCACAAATTAACCCGTTGAATAGTTTTCCATATAATATGAAACAGCGAAAGCTGCTGAAGAATGGTAGCACACTAGTGACTTGGACAGGTTAAATTCGTTCACTGGTGTCTTCTTGCTGACTAGCATTTTGGAAATGTTTGATTTCACTGTGATAAGGAGTCCACCCTTTCCCCGAAATAATAGACTACCAAATATTTCAGGGAGCAAAGTCTACCAGAAGAATGCTATCCACTGATGACTGTACATCTGAAATTGTTCTACTTTTTTTAAAGATTCTGACTGTGAAAGTGGAAGGCTGTTCTAAATATCCTAAGGGAATTGTAAAGCGTTCAGATGTGGAAAAATTCCTTTTAAGGAAGAGCAAGTTTCCTAAGATCTACATGTCACAATACTTCAAGCTTCTGGAAAAGTTTCAGATTGCTCTGCCGCTAGGAGAAGATCAACTACTGATCCCAAGCAGGTAAGCAAAGAGCTAAACCCACAAATGAATGTGCCATAGAAATCAATCAGAACAAAAACCTCCCATCAGGCTATAATGATGTTTTAGCTTAATTGATCATAAAGGCAGTTGCACATATGAACGCGAGATTTAAACTTATTACCCCATATTTTTGTAAATGCCTTCACAGATGTGTTAAACTGTTCTTGTGGCAGCTAAAGCTTACAAGCTTTATTAGCACAGTGGTAAACAGAATGTATAAATGCTAAAATGCTTTATGAGGGTAATATTTCTTTTACAATTGCCATACTTTGAGACTACAGCAGGAAGATTATAATTTAGCTTTACATTGCATCACTAGTGTGCCAACAGTACAGATATTTATTGCAATATAAATTATAATCATGATTTCCTATAACCTATTTTCTTGAAGTCAGAACCACAGTCAAGTTACTGTGAGGCAATAAAGTTATTTAGAGGCAATTTCTCCCCTGAATGGTCTAGTCACTAAGTGACAAAAAGGAGTTCTGAATTTGAATGCTGTCCTTTTGCTTTAATTGAAGCAGGTCGCACAGTTTCTCTCCCTCAGTTACAGATTTCCCCGACATGTTTAATAACGCTTACTTTGCTTACTGGAGAGAGTGTTACGTGGTTGTATTGATTAGTCTTTCTAATCCGTTTAAAGCGCTGAGATAAGACGATTTTATCTGAATCCCCCTAATCTGCTTTATATATGCTTCAGGTTTTTCTCACACTTACATTCCTTGATATATAATGATTGCCAGGGAGGTTGTGTTTGTTGCGTTCAAATTAGAGCAGAACCTAACTTTAGCACAAACAAACAGAGAATAAGCAAATATACTGGCAGTCTGCTTCATGATCATTTGAATCGTTCATTCATTAATAAATAATAGGTTTTACATAATAAATAATGTGTGTCATCACTCAGTTTGGAAAAGTACATCACTAAATACTGTCCGATATTTTTATTCTTCCAGTTTGTCTGATCACAGACCTGTTATAGAGCTTCCCCACTGTGAAAATTCAGAAATTATCGTCAGGCTTTATGAGATGCCGTACTTTCCTATGGGATTTTGGTCCAGACTGATCAACAGGTTGCTTGAAATATCACCTTATATGCTGTCAGGAAGAGGTACAAATCTTTAACTTCAGAAATGACAGTGAGCGTATTTGCTTTAAATGCCAACACCTGCATGTTCAAGCTCTGATTCCTGTTATAGTTTTGCTTTAGCTAATTTCTGGCCACTTCACAAATGCAAGAAAATAAACGGTGGCCATTTTTGTAACTTAGAAATATGCAGGAACATATGGTGCCTGATCTTTACAACAGTGTGCAAAAGAAAATGGAGGCATAAGCAGCCTCTTTCACTCCTTCACATGCTAGAGATGGAGAAAATTCCTGCATTTATGCAAGTTTAGCATTTGCTTCTACAAGGAATACGGAAAAGAGTATGTCTTCCTCACAGAACAAGCTGCTTTTCTGCAGGGTCATCTATTCTCCCTTTATGAAAGTCTAAAAACTCTACTTTTATCAGAAGTGGGTTTTTTGCATTATTTTTTTTTTCCAATAATTCCATGCTTTGACACAGGATCCATCACCTGAACTTTATAATTGCATTCATCTTTGTTTTTTTAATATGCAATTTATGAATATAGGTGACAGGTAAAGTATGCAAAATTCATATTGCTGACGCTCTACAAATATGAAGTATAGCCATCACCACCAACAGTGGTGTTTGATCTCCTCCTGAACATAGAATTCAGATGCGAGGTAGCACATCTCACTATGTTGTGAGTACGTGACAGAGAGGAAAAAATAAATCATGGAATTTGTTTCGTTATATTGCCTAAAATATCCTGGGTGTGCACCCCTGTGTACTTAATTCCCTACATGCGTTACCTGTGCAGTGACATATCATCTGATTCAGTATTGAGTGTTTTGTGGATATACCTTACAGAACTGATTGATCACCAGTTGACACATTTATTCAGCTGTTGCCGGGGGTATTCTGCCTGCAGAGGTGTAGTGTTTGTTTTGTTTGTTACATGGTCGTGTGTAAACCTACAATCATAGTTAAATATCTAAAGTAGCATGAATTATTCTGAATATTGGAAAGTATGAAATTCATATTGGAGATCAGATTTTTAATCTAGTTTTTTTTTTTCTAGAGCGAGCTCTTCGTCCTAATAGAATGTATTGGAGACAAGGCATCTACCTGAATTGGTCTCCTGAAGCTTATTGTTTGGTGGAATCAGCAGTATTTGACAACAATCCAGACAGTTTTTTGAAAATTACAGCACCGTCTTGCAGAAAAGGTTAATTATTTCCGAGCCTGATTTTTGCTCCAGTTTGATTGCTGCTTGGCACTTTGGTTTGTTGTGCTTTTGCTTTTTGGAATGTACAGTTTGTTTTTGTAATTACAAGTGTGTCAGGTAGAGGCTGTCATTTTCCTGTTTTGGCTTTTTAAAGGTTGCATCCTTTTGGGACAAGTTGTGGATCACATAGATTCCCTTATGGAAGAATGGTTTCCAGGTTTGCTGGATATAGATGTGTGCGGTGAAGGGGAAACACTGTTGAAGAAATGGGCTCTGTACAGCTTTGAGGATAGTGAAGAACACCAAAAAATACTGCTTGATGACTTACTTAAAAAAGCGGAAGAAGGTAAATAGTTATGCCATTTGATGTATATTGATACATATTATATAACATCCCCTTTATAGCCTTTGGGCTCTTCACATTATATAAAAACATTTCTTTTCAATTAAAAATAGTTACAGTATGAGTCAAAAGCAATTTGTTCTTTTTTTAGCTATATAACTATACAATAAGGGACAGATTGCTGCTACTCTGTATAGTCATATATAAAGTGGCAATAGTGAAAAGCATCTTTCTGTCATGATACCGATCGTGGAACTTCATTGATGGGTTTGAATCCAGCACATAGTAAAACTGGTACTAACAGTTTGCAGTTTATCACGGTCTTGCAGTTGGACCGTGTACAACAGAAATTTAAACGGCAATATTGATGAAGACATATTACATAACTGATAGCATGTATTCTTTTTCTATACAGAGATAAAAATAATCTCTCAGTTTGGCATTGTTACATAATAGCAACTGCTGATCACATTTGATTGTAGACAGGACCTTGAGATTATGTAAAGATGTAAGATACTGTTTAAGTTGAATGGGATACTTTTTTAGTACTCCATTGCGCATACGTATGTATATAGCTCATTTTAGGTGCTTTCGTCATATGCACTCACAGAAATCCATTTATCTTTCAGTGCATTTAGAGTAGTGACTATGCTTTTTTTTCAGCGTCTCGTTTATTTTTCGTAGGTGACCTTTTAGTAAATCCAGATCAGCCAAGACATACCATTCCAATAGCTCAGATTGCTCCTGATCTGATATTGGCTGACTTGCCTAGAAATATCATGTTGAACAATGATGAACTGGAATTTGACAAGGCTCCTGAATTTCTCTTGGGTAAGTATTATTTTATAGTTTCTTTTACAAAAAGCTAATGTAAACAAATCTATGGAAGTCAGTTCTGCAATATATGGAAAACATTTTAGAAATTTCTCTCCTGTGGAAATGTATTTTTAATGTGCTCTGAATTTCAGGTTATTGAGTTTTTAATTTTCCATTAATAGCTGTACAAAGAGACTGCTTTTAGCTGCTTAGATTATCATGAAGCTTAACCCAGTAGATGGTCCACACAATTTTTCAATTGGGTCTTTTCAGCTATCTCTGAGAAGTGGTGGATGGCCCTTTGTTGTTAATACAATTTTCAATTTCATCTTTGAAAAGGTGATGGTGGTTTTGGATCTGTGTACCGTGCATCTTATGGTGGAGAAGAGGTAGCTGTAAAGATCTTCAATAAACATACTTCCCTCAGGCTCCTACGACAAGTAAGAAACATTCCCTTTTTTTCTGCTGCTCTTGGAGTACCAACCTTAATGAAGAGCTTAAAACACTAAAGTATAGTGCAAGACTTCATTCCAGAACTCCTCCTCAGAGTTCACCGCAGAACTACACAAGTTCTGCTACTTGCATTATTTCACCTGATTTTACCGTTTACAGGAGCTTGCAGTGCTTTGTCACCTCCATCACCCCAGTTTAGTGTCTTTGCTGGCTGCTGCAATCCGTCCCCGGATGCTGGTGATGGAGTTGGCCCTTAAAGGATCTCTTGACCGTTTGCTTCAACAAGACAATGCAAGTTTAACTAGAACGCTCCAGCACAGGATAGCTCTACACGTAGCCGATGGCTTAAGGTAAATCCAAATTTTATATTGCTGTAATAACAGGATAGAGCTGCAGAGACAACATACTAAAAGCTTATTGTTTCTTATATCTCAAGCAGGATATTCCTTGGCTCAGAGAGATACCTGTCTTTCTCTTATTGATTAGCTGATGCAGAACTTGGAGTTTTGTCGTCTGTTTTTTCTAGGAGCACGTGGGGCTTACATAAAAAGAGAAACAGCCAGGACTCCAATTGGAATTTGCTATGTGACTGTTGACTCCTTGCCAAAATGTCCAAGTAATTAACTTGGTGCATTTTAAAAGTTCTTAAAGTCCTTTTAATGACCTCAGGAGTTACGAAAGTGTGACTATAAAAGCACAAAACCTCTAAAGGAGCCTAGGGACAAAAGTAGCTTAAACTTCTGAGATTCAGTTTTCAAACAGCCAGTCCCATTTCCGATGAGGCTCAGAACTAAAATACTGTCGTGTTCACGTGCCAGTCGGTGGTGTATCGGAACAACTCTGAAGTCATTATCCAGTAAGGCAGTGTCATTTGTGGTGTCTGACGTTTTGTTTACACAGTGTTTAACATCTGAACCCATGATCTGTTGTTGTGTGAATAATACATTCAGAGTGTTTGTGTGTATGTGTGGGTGTGTAGGTACATAACCCTTAATCATGAATGTTTTCAATATATACTTTTTTGATTAACAGATACCTCCATTCAGCAATGATCATTTACCGTGATTTAAAGCCTCACAATGTGTTGCTCTTTACACTATATCCCAATTCAGCTGTCATTGCAAAAATTGCTGACTATGGCATTGCCCAATACTGTTGCCGAATGGGAATAAAAACCTCAGAAGGCACACCAGGTATGGAAGAAATGCTTTGGTTTACATTGCATTGTGCCACAAAAATACATAAAATGTTTTTGCATTTGGTCTGTAAGAAAGAATGTGGTTAAACTCCAGTCTGCACTGTAGTGGGACTCGCCGTATTACAAGTTGTGATGGCAGTTTTACACTTCTTAGCCTGTCTTCCTGCCCATGCATTAACTGGTTTTATAAGAATTGAGCAGTATACTGAAGGTTTAAAAAGAGAACAAGTTAAATGACATGCACTGATCTTGATTTTTTTTAAATCTTGTTTTAGTATGTATATTGTAATATAGTACTGAAATTATACTGCTAAAGTCACTTTTGTTTGCATGTCTTGATTTTTTTTAAAAAACAAGGGATACTGGCACTATCTACTGATTTTAGGGAAAACACAGTAGCATCCATTTTAAAGCCCTGAACACTGCAAGAATTATGAAAAGTGTCCTTTGGTCTTTGGAGTAATGACGACAGACTTGCCCTTCCTTTTAAGTATTCATTCATAAATGAATTGTTTTTATGTGTAATGGTGCAGTACTTCCTTAACTCATGTACTGTCCCCTTCCTTTAGACTGATTGCTGGTATTCTGGGGTATTTTGGGGATTTTGCTGGGTAATCTGACACACGCAAACTACTGCCAGCCCAGAAATAGCGCACCATTTTTGGTTTACTTTCTGTGACATTTTCATTAATAAGCATTTACTTCTAAAAGGATAAAGATTGCTTCGGCTTGGTATGAGTCATAACCTATTAATAAATGATTTATTTGCAGGATTTCGAGCACCGGAGGTTGCCAGAGGAAATGTTATTTACAATCAGCAAGCTGATATTTATTCATTCGGCTTGCTTCTGTATGACATTTTAACAGGAGGAGGTAGAATAATGGAAGGTGTGAAGTTTCCAAATGAATTTGATGAGTTAGCGATACAGGGAAAGTTACCAGGTATGCCTTGTTTCTTCAAGTTTTAACATACAAAGAGACTGTTTGCGCTGCCTTATTCCAAAAATGGCACATCTCATGTTGTATGTTCTCTCTGACAGTAATCAGAGGAAGAGGCTAAATAATAGCAGTTTTAAGAAGCTTCTCCTAATTTCATAGAGTCTTCAAATAGTGAGAAATAGGTAAATGTTCAACATCATACTTGGTATAGTTTCATATAGGTTCAAGGAATCTAGTTGGTATATTTTATAAAGAAATAGAGATTTCATACACTTGAGCCTTCATCCAGACTTGACTGAAATGGGTGTTTCTGGGTGTGCTTTCTGATACCGCGTCTGAACTTGACCCATACTTACTACTGTGGCTATGCATATCACAGGAAAAAAACTGTTTATAAAACTTTCTGATGCCAGTGATTTTAAAGAGCAGCCACTCCTAAAGGATTGAAATAGGAGTTCCCTTTTACCTGTCAAGTGTGTGAATTCCCTGCCTGCCTAAATAACGTTCTTCATCCTCCATGTGCTTTGCAGTACGTAGTTCTTGGTTCCTAGAAGGAAGACTAGGCAGACTAACAAGCTGGACCTGACGTAGTCAGCTGGACAGTATAACGCAGTATTTGGCAACTTCTTTGTAAAGAGATGTTGCAGATTAATAGTACTACAAGCTTAATGCGTGGTATTTGTCTTTGTTGCCCAGTAGTGGATATGCTCGTGAAGTATTCTTTAAGACTGTGAAAGAGGAAAGGGCGGCAACTGTACCCATTGCTCTGGTACAGCTTCTCCATTAAGGAAAGAGAGTTCTTACATTTTCTACTTCTTAAGGAAAATAGTCCAGTTCTTAGCTCAGCTTGTCTAAAAAACACCCCCGAGGAGGATGGTCCAAGAACCAGTGACTAAGTATCTTCTGCATGCAGTTGTCCATGTGGCTGTTCTCTGTATTATGAGCCCTATGAAATGATGAGAAGTATTAACTTCTGAGGATATTGCAGCTCCATCTGTGTGCATGCTCATTATTTATAGATTTCCACCAAATAAAGGGCTGGCTGAGCTCACAAGTGAACAGTGCCTATCATTTGTTGAACTGGATATGTTCGTTTGCAGTTTTTCTTCAGCTTTTTTTAATGTTACCTCTATCTAATGTAAGACTGGAATATCTACTATGCATTTTGATGAGCCAAAATGAAAGCAATACAGGCACTGCTATTAACGACTAAATTTGTTCTTAGAGATGTCCGCTCTTGCAGGGATAAGATATACATTCAAAGCAGTGAGTGTGAATTTAAACTTCCACATCTCATGAATATTATATGGAGTTGCTTATCTAAATGGCTATAGATTGTATTGGAAATTCATCAGTATTCTCTATGTTCTGACCAAACACAGAAGAGTAATTTTTCAAAACAGTGTGTACAGGAATTCAAAAGACTAAGGACTGAGATTTCTGAAAGCCTTGAATGATCAGCATTAATCAAGTCCTGCGTATCTCTGATACAATTCCAAGTGTAGTGATATTCTGCAGAATCTGTTCGGTGTAGCTGCTGTTAACGAAAAAGACTCTAGCTCTGTGACTGCCATTTCTCATTAATGGCAGATGAGGAATTCTGAGCTGTTCATGGTGACGTTTTACCTAAGGGTGTAATATTTCTTACAGCAGCTTTGTAAGAAGTTAGATAAAGTCTTTCAATAAGAAGAAAGTTATTCAGAACTCTCAGTTCTGAACTGTGGTAAAGGCTGGTTAAGACATTATTGAATTTTATATTTTAGATCCTGTCAAAGAATATGGGTGTGCCCCCTGGCCTGAAGTAGAAAACTTAATTAGGAAGTGTTTGAAAGAAAACCCTCAGGAACGACCAACATCTTCCCAGGTATTATTTTTAGTGTATTTATTATGTATGTTTTTGTGTTAGATGATGCCATGAAGTTATTTTGATTTCTAAAAAAGAAATGGCCAATTTAAGTCAGTAAGCGGTACGGTGTTTTTTCCTTTCTTCTTCTGTGGGACTGAAACGGCCATGGTGTATTGCCTGCTCGTGCCATCCAGGGTAAAGTGTTCTGTTCAAATCTACCAATCTTTCGTTTGTAGCCAACTGGTTTTACTTGTGCTGTTATATGAGGATGACAGTGAAACAGGATTTAAATTACGTGATGGTTTTTACTAGAGTTGCACAGAAAGGACTTTATTATAATACCAGTGCAGTTAGCCTACCCTGCTCCATGCATATGAGAGGATGAACAGTGGTGTGCATCTGAAACCTGCCGTCTGTAGTCTCATGTCACTTAGCTCTGTGAAAGAGATGACATTTTCAAACACTCCTTAATCCCACTGACTTTCTGAGATTCAAATTAAAAAATGAAAGAGTCAAGGAAAATTTGCTCCGTGCATAATGATTGTTCATTAGTGGTGGTGTACAAATGAGCAAACCTGCTGAGATACTGTGTATATATTCCGTAAAGCATTGTTACCCCTTGCTTGTTCTTTATTTATCACTGCGCAGGCCATCATTATTGCCTTGTGCGTGCTGTGGCTTTCTTTGCAGGTTTATGAGATTTTGAATTCCGCAGAGCTTATCTGTTTGATGAGATACATTTCAATACCCAGTACCTCCACAGCAGAGTGCATGGTAGCTGCCAATCAAAGCTGCAAGAAGGCAGGAGTCTGGATAGGCAATGGGAACACAGAAAAATCACAACTTTCGTTTGTTAACCTAAATACAGATGGACATACTTGTGAGGTATGTGGGGAAGTTTCATTTATTCTAATTTTTTGGCACCTAGAATTCAGAGGAATTAATTGCATCTGAACTGTAGGAGTTCCTTCTGGAAAGTCCAGCTTTGAGAGATTTTGGATAGAACAGATACAGTTCGTAAATGAGTCATCCCTGTATCCATGAAATGAAGCAGAAACAGAGTCTCTTTTTCCTCTCCTCCTGCCATCCGGCCTGAATTTTCTCATAATACTGTCTTTCCACTACTGGGTTCCTTTCTTCCACTCAGATTGAAGCTATTTCTAGCATGGAGCCTAGAACAAGGAGTAAGAGCTTAAAAAGCATTTGTATCACTCCCTCCCCGGACAATCCAGCTCGTCTCTTACAGTTCCTCTTTTCCCATGGATGCCACCTCCTTTTACCTCTGTGAGTGGTACCCTTCTGCTCTCTTCATTTGCTTTTTGGACTTCCCAGTCCTGTACCATCAGAAAAGAGAAGATGTTGTGATGGGCATGTTTCTCTTTGTCTGCCAGAACTGAGTGTGACTCACCACTGAAGTTGTTTAAATTACTGTTTCCATGACAGCTGACTGTAGCAATCATGACAGCTAAGGTATCTGCCGTCTGTTGACCATGATACGTTTGAATCGAAAGCTTTCTTATAAATTATACGGCTTAATTTTCTAAAATTAAAATGAAAAAAAGCTGAATTAATTATTAGATGAGTACTTCTATTGTTATCAGTTGAACTGAATCTGTATTGCAGTATAGTTCCATTTGCTTGATTCTCTGATGGCTTTCAAAACTTCATTAGCCGACGTGCAGAGAATGTATTTTTTCGATATTCAGCACAGTGATTTTTTTCTCTACTATTTGAGGAGTCCTTCCCAGCACTGTGAAGATAGATAGCTTGGCTGAAGATGTATTCTGCTAATTGGAAACTGGATTTTTTAATTAAGAAGTTAGGCTTTGAGTCTTCCCAGGGTCTTGGAAAATTGTACTTTATTTTTATTATGAGCAATTTACCAGTGTTTACCCTTACTGAAAACATAACCAGGTTGTTTTTTTTTTTTTTTTTTCCTGACTCAGGATATTGCAGATAGTAAAATTTTAAGTTTGGCCTTGGTGACCCTTCCTCATGAAAAGGAAAACTGGATTGTAGCTGGAACACAGTCTGGTTCTCTGTGGGCAGTTAATACGGAAGATGAAGCAAGAAGACATCATCTGCAGAAAATGTCTGATTCTGTCACATGCTTATACTGTAATTCTCTTTCAAAGCAAAGGTATAAATCAGTTTTTAAATATTTCGTGTTACGTTTAGAAAATGTGATTAAACAGTGATGTTCTCACAAGGATAGCTGTATCTTGCCCTCCATGTGTTGCACTTAGTTTTGCACCCAGTGTAACCAGAGGCCCCATTCCTGACCACGGGTGATTGTATTTGCTTTCAGTGTTCCAAGAAACTCCTGAAATACTAGATGCTACTGATTGAAATTTTTCTTTCCTGATTCAGGGATTTCCTGGATTCATTATTTGATTTTTATTCCAGCAAACAGAAGAATTTCTTTCTGGTGGGCACAGCTGATGGCAAACTGGCAGTTTTTGAAAACAGAGCAGTAAAGGTAGACTTGTTCTTTGCTGTCTTGTCCTCCAGAATATTCTTGGTAATATGTAAAGCAGCTACGAATTGTAACTTTGTTTCATGCAGTTTTTTTAATTGCTTCTCAAAACTAAAAATCAGTTTCTGTTGTAATCTTAGAAGAACTGCACATCTTATAATATCTGTTATAACCAACAGAGTTAAATGGGGAAAATTATCTCTCAGCATAGGTCTTTGAAGGGCATGGCATTCTGGCTAGAAAAGGACATAATTATTAATAAGAATATTCTGACAATTTTAATCTCCCTTACTCACCTCTGCTATGTCTTCTTTTTTCTTTTTGATCACACTACAGTCTTTCTCTGTAAAGGAAGCGGAAATTATCTTTAAAAAGGAGACTATTGTTTAGGTTATATAGGCCTTATAGACTGAGGCTTTCGTCACAGAGCAGATACAGATAAATGTTGGGAGCTGTTTGTATCAACTGGTTTCTGAGGGTTAGCTCCAGCCCCGATGCAACTTAGAGCAGTTAGGGGCTGCAGCGCATTGCAGAACTGGAGTGTGGTTCGGTGTGGGATTCCTGCGGGATGGTGATGTGGCTTTCTGTCCAATCCTTGAACTGGGCCAGGGGTTGCAGAAGGTACCAGTCACAGCTCTGGCCCGTTTCCCCTCATGCAGGCTGTTTTCTTTGGGCCCTCTGTGATGAGAGTATGGTGCCTTTTCAGTCACAAATGTTCTGCAAAGAGACCATAATGGTTCAGAAAATCTGGCTGCGTAAATCCTCTGCAGGTAGTGTTTCAACGGTTGCTACTTTGCACGTGTGTACACTCCCTGTTTGTAACGGAGAGTATATTTCTTCTTGCAGTGTAAAGGTGCTGCACCTTTGAAGATACTAACTATAGGGAATATTAGCACACCGTTCATGTGCTTAAATGAATCTTCATACTCAGCTGAAAAAAATACCATCTGGGGAGGCTGTGGAACAAAGATCATATCCTTATCTAGTGATTTCTCGGTGCAAAAACTCATTGAAACAAAGACAAGTCAGCTGTGAGTGATGTTATTTGGCTTTTGGTTGTTTTTGTTAAAGATTTCTGACAGTACTGTGATGTAATGCCTTGTTTCTACAGCTTGTTCTTTGAATTTTCTGGTTTCCCTTCTTTTCCTTCCCTAATATAGATAGACTATTAAATGTATTATAAGATCAGTGAGTAATATTTAAAGTGTTAATTGCTGCTTTAAACAAGGAATATGCGTTTTTACCATATGAAGGATTCATGAAGTCAGTAGGCGTTCAGGAAATGTGTAAATGCTACTGAGCAGTTTTTGTCCGTTGATTGCGTTTGTCCAACACCCATTTGGGGTGTACTGAGAGCTGTACGCGCATACTGAGAGCAGCATTTGTCCTTACATATTTGTTGATTATATGTGTGCCTGTCTTCGTCCCGTTTATACAAATCGTGCATGATTGCTGACCTCTCGTTATTTGGAAGGTATGAAAAACATACCAAGTTATGAGACTGAAGCTATTGGAGTATTTGCTCACGTGGGCAAATCCCACACTGAAGTTAAGGGGAGTTTTTCCTAGATAGGGGTTACAGTATTTGATTTTATGGTGACAGAGATAATTATTCTAGGAAATGAATATGCTTTGGAAAATAACAATAATTTTAATGTAAAGCAAGAGACTAAATCTTTAAGTAAAATGCAGATGGATGGCAAAAGGAAAATATGTCACAGGAAGAATCTGAGATTTGTAGATGCAAAACTGCATGCAGTTTTCGAAAGAAGGTTGTCAAAAATAGCAACTGAAGTAGCAGTGTTACTGAGTGTCTGCCATCAGAGGTCTGAGATTTTGAGCTGTTCTGGAGTATGAGTTGAAGAGTCAGTGAAGAAAAGCAATGCCATTAAATTGCAGAGCAATAGAATTTTGGTGTGTGCAGTCGCAGGTCTGGCATGAGACAAATTCGTATGTAGAGGAAAATAATCAAAAAAGCTGTCAGCTGAAATGAAACCGAGAGCAGAGCAAGGTGAACTAAGTCTCATTGCTGCTTTTTAGGGTCGGTCATCTTTGTATTGAGCGACCCTTTGTGGCCCTGTGTGTCCTTGTAGGAGCTATCGAGTGTCTCCAAACACTGAAAGAGTGGCAGGAGAAACATGGAAGTAGCCCTGCTGTGATGCGAGCATATGTGCTTTGAGTGGGTAGATGGGAAAGATTTATTAATAGAGTTGGGGCATTAATGCGCCTCCAGGGATATCAGCAGCCTAACTCCACTTACTGTAAGAAGTTCTATCAAGCTGCGTGAAGATTATAGCAAAGCCTTTCGGTTGTAACCCAGCCCACTTTGGTTTTAAGGCTGAATGGTTCTGAAACAGTTAGAGAAGAGCTAACCCCGCTGATGTTAACATTCAAGTTTGCCCCTTAGAAATTTTCCGTGTGCCTAACAGGAGCTCTTCTGTCTCCTAGGTTCTGTCATAACGCTTACAGTGATGCAAATATTATTTCAATAGCAGTGGACAAATCCATCTACTTGGCAAAGAAAAACAGCCATTTTGTGGAAATTTGGGACAAGAGGACAGAAAAACTTTGTGAACTAATTGACTGTGCACGTTTTCTTAAGTAAGTATTTTTCATGGATAGCATGATCTATAAAGCTGAATAACAGATGGTCTTCTCTAGCATAGTACCTCACCCTGCAGGACGGAAGGGAGTTGTTGGTGAAACCAGTTCTTTGGGCAAATGTGGAATTTCTTTCCTCTCTTCTGGCCTAGAACTTGGGAATATCTCATGTAGAATCTCAGTTTTCTGAGACCTTTATTATATTTCACAGTTTGCCTGTGATTTCTAGAGGATTCCTTTAACTGTTCAAAAAACTAGAAAGTCTTCTGTTGTCCTTAGCTGGTGTGATCAGGCATTCTCTCTCTCTTCTCTCCAATTACTTTCTTCATCGCCTGATGAAGAGTGCCTTCTCTCTCCAGTGCACTGATTCAGTAGGAGATCAGAGTTTCACACTGATTTACATTTACATTTATATTTTTCCTCTCCCTTAATGCTCAACGTCATTTCATTTTCATGATGAGGTTGGAAGCAGCTCTAGTAGTGCTCCTCCCGCTTTGCAGTGAAATTATTCACCTGTAGCTTGCGAAAGAATAGGGAGAAGTACCTGCCTCCTATTTAAAGGCCTGTTCAAGCAGAGCAACTTTTTGCTGCCTCTTGTAACTCCAGTAGTTTTCATCCCCGTTTATTTAAAGTCAGTCAGTTGTTTAGCATGAGATTTTTGTAGCTTGTCTTGACAAATGATCATTTAAAAGGCTAGCAGTTACGGAATAGAGCGCACCAACAAATTTTAATTCACGTTTTCTCCATATTCTTAGGGAGGAAGTGGCAAAACTAAATAAAGAATCAAAACATGAAGTGGCTTATTCTGGAAGAGTAAAGACAATTTGCCTACAGAAAAATACTGCGTTGTGGATAGGGACAGGGGGAGGACATATCCTGCTGCTTGATTTGTCAACACGTCGCCCTGTACGAGTTATAGACAACTTTTGTGATTCTATTCGAGTCATGCTAACAGCCCAGTTAGGTAAGTAAAATCATCAGATGACAAGTACTTCCAAGTCAGCGGTAAGCTTAGAAGTGCTGGCTCCTGTTTGGCATGGTGTTCCAGAAAGGGATTAGCATTTTCCCTGTTTTGTTCGTTCATTCTATTCTACTGCTGTCATCTTCAGTCAATGTTAGACGCTCCGGTGTCAGTTAAATACCAGCAGGCTGTCATATCTGTGCCCAGATAAACAACAGCTCTTCCCTGGCTTGTCACTGATCAGCATATGAACGATCCTGGCTTCGCTGCATCCTTTTCACCGTGCTCCAGCTGAGTTGTCACCGTCCTCTGTCTGATACTCTTCTTATTCATCTGTTTCCACCTGTTTTATTTCTCCCTCCTAAAAGTTTTACACTTCTGACTTCTCCCGCTGTGGAGCTTGTTAGTTTTTAATCATTCTTCCTTATTAGCTTAGTCTGCAGTTTTCTTCTCCCATCCCCATTCAGGAATGATGTCCATAGAGTACAGTTAGCTCGTAATATGGACAGTGTTGTGTGAATGGAAACAAAATCCAGCTTCCTCTCGCTTGCCTTTGCCTGTGACAGCAAGTTTGTAGAGTCTCTTCAGTCCTCAGCTGTTAAGAGTGCCAGCTGTAGAGTCCAGATTCACTAACAGAATTTTCAGTCCTCCTGGTCCTGGTGGCTACGTTATTAGTACCGTACAAGGACTGTTTTATTTTAGCATTTTGGAAAGAGTAGTTTCTATGAAAACAAGATTTCTGTCTTTCTTGTTATTGTCATTGATGATAGAAAAAGAACAGATATACAAATGTATAGAATATTGTGTAGAATAGTACAGTGTAACTTAAAAAGTCTTGAGTTTCAAATTCTTTTTTTCCAATCAACACAACATTTTTAAATCAAAATTTTATATTAAAAAAATTAATAATTTATGAGGAAAAGCAGCTATGTTTCCACCACACAGTATGCTTGCAGGTATGCGAATCTCGAGAACGGCAAGTAAGACTGATAGACGCAGTTTTGACATGCATTTTTTCTTTTCATTAGTTTTTCACAGTAATTATTTATAAGGTGGTGGTTTTTGCTAAATTCAAAGACTTCACTTCTACTGAGATTTTTATAGAGTTACTAAAAACGGCCTCAGGGCTGATGAGCTGTTCATCAGTAGTAAAACATTGCTGGTATGAAATGAAAGAAGCTAGAGGGAAATATTTTTGCATTAAGTATTCTAATCTTAAAACTGAAACTATATGACATCAATCGAGTGTAAATATTTCAGGGAAAAAGAGCTTGCTACACTTTGAGATATTAATTTTATCTGTAATTCCTATGTGAATATGTAAATATAATGTCTTTCTCTAATTCTCTCAGCTAACACATTGGCATATAATAGACATGAGACAAAGAATGACTCATGTAAACCTGTAGTTCATTTTGCAAGCGAAAATATATGCCTCTAAATAGGAAGAAAGGACCTAGGTCTGAATAGGAAACATTGTACGTTAAGTTCCAGTCAGTTGCATCAGAAGTATGGATAGGATTGGTGGCAGAAAGAAGTAGCGTGATTAAAACTCTGAGCATGGAAAGCACACATGGTTCCCAACAACCCTCAGCCACCATGGACAGATCGAGGTCAGGAGATGCAAATTTCCTTAGGGCAGGAAAAATATCTCTCTACTCGGTACCCTGTGGGAGAGCCACAGGATACGTTTGCTAGTTCAGAAGGAACGTATCCTGAGACACACACTGCAGTGAGGTGCCACAAAACTGTGGCTTTCACAGTAAGCCATACTCCAGTCTATTTATCCTTCCAAAACTGAACCTTTCCTCATCTTTTCCTTGGGGAGTGTGTATGACTTCATGTATGAGGAGATAAGGGGAGGTGTGGAGCACAGTACTGCAGCTGGGGTGCCTGTACTTCCTAGCAGAGCTCCTTTGAATGGGGAGAGCTGTGCCTGCCCCCGTGCAGGAACACGTTGGCCTCTCTGCTGCGCTGGGTCCTGTATGTGCCACTGCAGCTGGGGGGTCACTGCTCATCATGCTGCCAGTGGGACCGGGAGCTACTGGGGCAGGTGAGCATGAGGGAACTATTTGATAAGTAGGCATAAAGCAGAAGGGCTCATATACACTGATAAAATACCTTTTCCTAAGCATAATTGCACTGTATTTTAACTTTGTTCCAGTAGGACAGTGTTGACCAAAGCAGAACTTGGTGAAATTCATGTTGTTGTTTGGAAAATTCATGTCACTGTTGGAATGGGGTTTGTTATTTGGAAAGCCAGTATAACAGCTTTCGTCCATCCCGCACAATGTATAAACGTGGCTTGTGGGGAATAAGTAGGAAGTCGATTTTGAAACACTGGCACACAGAACTTAACCCCTCTGTGATCAGACCACCTTTGTCTTCCTAGTCTTTTTTTACATTATTCAGTAGGTACCTTACTATGATCCATCCCTACTAACTCTCCTTCCCTACTTACATTGTTAATGCAGAATACTTTAAATGAGCTTGTATCATATTTGGGTTTTGGTTTGGTTTGGTTTGGTTTTTTTACCGAACGGATTACTGGCACTTTCTATTTTTGCCTCGATTTTGCCATGCATTGGGCCTTCATTTGCAGCCTATCCCTTCGCTGCAGCAGCTGTTTTCTGTGACTTAACTACCTCTGCGTGTGGTAGGTAACAGGATGCTTTGTTCTTAGGCTTGTTCAACAGGCTGGCTGACTTGGCAGGCTGATCCAGTGGCTATGTCTTTGAACTCTGATTAACCCCTACATTAAATGGAGTCTTGAACTGTAGGCTTTTCATGTCAGTCTGTTTGTTTTTTTTTACCATGGCTGCTGATCGTGAACAATGCGTCCAGTTTACTGAACTCTGCTTTCTGTCCTGTCACTGGCGTCATGTAATCTACTCTAATGTCCTTAAATTACAAAGCTCTTGTTAAAAGTTAAAATTTGACATTCTATTTCTTTGAAAAAAGGGACTCTTAAGAATGTGGTGCTGATTTTGGGGTATTGCTATAAAAGTGACACTGAAGACAACAAATATCACAAAGGTACGTGAACTGTGTTTTATTAATTTGTATTATTGATGGATTCGACAGTATTATGCTTGAATACCCACAGAGGTGTTTGGCGAGTTGATGATCATAATTTAATGCAATTTTATTGAAATACCATTATTGTGTTTTGTTGTCTTTTGCATTTCTGGATTCCATGCAACCTAACAGTAAATTTTAGAAATGGACCAGATGGAGCTGCTCTTTGAAGGCCATATAACTAGCTGGAAAACAATTTGGAGAGTAATTATCATTATCTAGTTGGAGAATGTCTCAGGCGGATTTCCAGAGGGGTCTGTGCCGGGCCAGGAATACTCAATGTTTTCGTTACTGATGTGGATGAGGGAATAGTGAGCATGCTTTTCGAATCTGCAGACAGCACTCAGCTAAGAGAAGCCTCAAGCTCACTGGGACAGTATTAGAATTCAAAATTCCCTTGACAAATAGAACAAATAGAACAAATTGTCTGGAAGGAAGTTCAGCAAGGGCATATACATGACTTTTCACTTACTTAGAAATAATGAATTGTACCAGCGATAGGAAATGATTGGCTTAGACAACAATGCTGCAGCAAAGGGGTTGTAATCAATCACAGGCTAAACATGAGTCCACAGGCTAAACATGAATCAACAGTGTCGTGCTGTGGCAGAAGAGGCAAACGCTGTTCTCACACCGACAGAAAAGTGGTGTCTATGAGACATGTGAACTAATTCTTCCACTCTGCTGCGTTCAGATATGACTTCTGCTGCAGCCGCCTATCCTTTTAGGACACTGCTCAATGATCTAGACTGTTAGGAACAATCCAGAGACCTAATCTGGACTATTAGGAATAGTCCAGAGGAGAGAAATGTAACCTATGAGGAAACGCTGAAGGAATTTAAGTAGTGCAGTATAAAGAAAGACATGATAATGGGCTTCAGGTATGTAAACACACCTACAGAGAGGAAGGGAGTAAACACTTCTACATATCCCCTGTGGGCAGGATAAAGATGAGCAAGTTTCTATTACAGCAAGGGAGATTTAGGTCAAACATCAAGAAATGCTTCCTGACAATAAAGACAGTGAAGTGCTGGAATGGAGAGATACGAATCTCTGTTCCTGGGGATTTCTAAGAAGAGTTACAGATGATGCTGTGACTGGTGCCTTTCTTGACCTTTCTACCATCCCAGGTTTTGTGACTCCTAAAAATGTGACTATGGCAGTCTAAAGGTAAAGGTGGCAGGTGAAGGTGAGCTGATTATTTGGAATAAAATAAGAATCAAACTGACAGCAGGTTTTTTTTTACATTTTGATATCCCCTGATTTTTATCATAAGAACAGCCATTGCCTTTTTGTTGTATTTAAGAGTGCCAGTAGTTATACAGAGAGCAATCAGAGTTTCAGAAGCCTTGGGGCCTTATTTTGTGAGCCATACTAATGCAAGTATTCCCGGTTTGCCTTATTCCTTTAAAAAACAATGTGATTTCTCCATGAAGAAAGGGTGGTTTGCATGAATAGAAGTTGAAGAAGTGACCTTTTTCGCGGTCTACTCACTAGCATAGGAAATCAGTTTTAATTTCTGGTTTGCAGTGAATGGGGTTTGAGTCTTCTAAGCATGTAGGGCATATCTGCTCCGGAAAATAGAGATAAGTTTTTATATAGGCACCTCAGTAGCAATACTAGCTGTAGCTTAGGCGTCAGCACCTTATGGCCCACAAGCGCTAGAAATGAAGTGCTTTCAAATGGTGTGCTCTTAAGTTTGGGAGCTGGAAGCCAAACCTCTTTTAAGGAAAAACAGCTTCTCATCCAAACGTTATTACCTCACACAGAAGGAATCACAATTTGTCTTCCAGGTCCTAAGCATCATATTACTTCACTGAGACAACTTAAGAGTAATTAAAAATTAAGCAGATGATAAGCAAAACAATTTCTGATGTACAATAATTCTTCTCACAGCAGCAGTTTTCAGTGTTTTCACGTTATTTTTTTCAGAATTACAAACTTGTGTGTCAGTCTGGGACATTAACCTGCCCCATGAAGTTCAAAACCTGAAAAAACATATAGAAATGAGACAGGAACTAGCAGAAAAAATGAAGAGCTTTTCTTTGGACTGAAGAGTCGCCTTGCAAGTGTCATTCTCTTTTCTAGTTTTCCATCGGCTTAACTTTGTGCAATATTTAACACTTTGTATTGCTGGAGTTTTTAACATAAAACCGGGAGAAAGCCCTGAGAGAGCAACTCCCCAGATCATGGGATACCATGAAGAAAGAAGAACATTATTTGTTATTTGTAAATGTGAAAGGACTGAAAATTACTGAGAATTTCAGGACCTTAAGTGCCATCAGGGGTCTGTGTACTTGTGACCAGGTTCAGCTCTCACCAACTATGGCTCAGCTTCAGCATAGCTTCTTTCATCCAGTTTCTGATCCCAGTTAAAATGGGAATAAACCAGGAGACTATAAATCGCTCTTATTTACTTCCTTATCTCTACTGAGTTGACACTGTAAAGAAAAGCAAAGTTGCAGCCTCTGTTTGCTTATTGCAGTTTGCATGTATAAGATTTCCCTGATGCTTCGTGTTTCAGTAGTAATTCAGAGCTCATGACCTCGAGTATGTGAAAGAAAACATCATATTTTATGCAACAGCAGTGTTTAAAGGAGCATATACTGACTACATTACTCCTTGAAAACAACAGGCAGAATAGAGTCTTTATTTCTTCCATGAATAGTTGACATTTTTCATTATAATCAGAAAAAAAAAGTGCTAAAATAATAAAATATCTCAGAATTCAGAAATCAAATACACTGATAGGCCTCTGCAAGTTGGCGTCCTCTCCCTGCAGTCTGCCTTGTTCTGGGCCATGTAGTCTCATAGTTGTGAACATCACTATTCACATACATGTGTTGTACAGCTCACTCTGGAAAAAGAGAAAACACAGGGTGAAAATTCCTGTCTAAATGCTGCTACAACTTGTACCAAAAAGGAAGAAGTATGCCGCAGTAACCGCCACCGCTAGTTCTTAGTGCAGCTTGCTGGTTTGCTTATCTCAGTCTGAAAAAAAAATGGGAACTTTCATTTTGATATTTAGAACATGTTCAAAGTCACCAGTTATTCTTGTTTTAATTTATATCGTTATTTTGGGGGGTAAGCAATGGAACCTGGAGGTATCTAAGAATTGGCTACCTCTTGTGTGTAACTAACTCCACCAAATTTTGTTGCAATACATCTTCATTCAAGAGAGGCCTTTTACCGCGCTCTGGCTGTGAGGCCAAGCTTCTTCTTAATGCAGGTCAGTGCAGGCTATATCAGAAGTGCCTTATTTCTGTCCTCAGAGGACAGATACCATTGTTTTCTTTTGCTACCAAAAGAATCTATAAAATGCTCCTGAAATCTCAAGGAGTGGGATATCCCAAGCCATTCCTGAGTTTGTTTCCTATGGAGCTGAACAAGGTGCAGCAACCAAAAAAGTTCTCTGTCCCGTTTTTGCAGTTTTGAAGAATTAGTGCAGTAAGACGACAGCATTTACTGAACTGTGTTCAACTGCACTTTTGTTCTGCTGAGTGAGTATGCAGGATTCCTTTCAGATATCCACCCGAAGTTTTTATATATATTCTTGTATTCTGCATATTGAGACTAATTTGCTATTTATATGGGATTTTATAACTCAGAAAAATATATATTTTTGTTTGTAATGAAGACATTTTAAAAATTTATAAGAATGTATGTAATATGATGATGTCTATTTATAAGTCATTTTGAGATGTAAGCCTTATTATACCTTTGTATTAAAACTCCGCTTTGTTAATAACATAGTGCACTTTCTCATTGCCGAATTTCCAAGGAGGAGCTGTCACATGCAATTTTTGTTTAGCTTAATCGCTTCCATCAGGATGATCCAGGATTCCCGTTTTGTGAGTTTTGTTGACACAGCTGCATTCCCGCTTGCTGTCTGTCACATAGTGTGTGCCTCCAGCTTTCCCCGGCTTCTCCTCCACTTTGTGCTCCCTACAAGGAGGAGAGCAGCTGTCCTGGGACAGGCAGTTGCTAGATGTGGGAGGTGACCTGTAGGCAGGATTGTTGTCCCTGCAGTCAATTATTGGCCTCTTTTGAGATTCTCTGGATGAAAACGACCCATGGACTGAGCGTGGCCTACAGGTTAGCAGCCAAGCTACATGGTAAGTATTGCTGAGGTGACAACGAAAGAGATGGTAGCAGCCACTGAACAGAGATCATTCATTACCAAAGCTGTCTAAGTTGGCCACTGTTAAGTTGTCAGTGTTTGTTTAGAGGGCAAAATTTTGTTAACCCACTATGACTATTAAGAAAGGCAGTACATGTTCTGTGAACCTGCTGCATCCTTCCCAAACAAGTATTTTTTGGTAGTGTAGGAAGAGAGTTGGAGAAGACCTTGTGTTAGCGCTTCTGTTCGTTCTCTGCCACGTGACACAGTCTAAAAGTGCATCTCTGGCAGTCCTGAGCCCTATTCAGTGCGGCTGCCTGCCTGCTGAGTTTGGCATTTCACAGAGAGAGCAGTGAGCAGGGATATCCCATCGAACAAAGGGGACTGCCTTCAGCAGCCGTCTCTTTCTTGGGTGTGGGGAAGTTCTGGAAGAAGGTGGCTGCAGTAATGTTTGGCCAGAAACGAAGAGCTGGCAAACAGTAAGCGTGCGGATCCAGTTTAGCCACACTCCAAAGAACAAGGTTTGTGCGTGACAAAAATTTAAGCCTGACTTCATAAGGAAACCTTTTCCCATGGTAAGCACTACCCATATTCCACCTGCAACAACAACCTGAGTGGTATAATTCTTTCATAACATTCTAGAAATACACATCTTAATTATCCAGAAACATGTTTATTAACCTATAGGGAAAAAGAAAAAAAAAAAAAAGCTCTAGACTTCTCTTGCTGTAAAAAAGAAATCTATGTTCTCACTGGTTTTAGGGGAACTGTTTGTGTAAGTGACGCAGTAGGATATGATTGCATCAGGCTAGAAGCTCTACCAGGTGCAATGGTGACTGTTTGCTTTTGTTATTATTATCTCTATACTTGGGATGATATCCAGCATCTGAAAACCAAAGGATGACCCTTCCTTACTCCAAAAAAGAAAAAAAAAAGTGTTTGCTCATGGGAAGCAAGCAGTGTGCTTTGGCTGTGATTTAACATTAGCCCCATGTTCCGCAGAACACTGCGGCTAAACGATACACGTTTTTGACTTAAAGATATATGCAGACATACTGTACAGAATGAACTGACTGCTTGATTAGGTACTGATTTTTTTTTAAACCATCTTTCCCCTCCTAGGCTATTGACTTTGAATTAGGTCTATTCTTTTTATTTGTTGCTTGTCCTGGCAAATTACATAGAGCTGATTTATCGCTACATTAATTTTACCTTACTTCTTTTACAAGTAGTTTTTCCACATTAATCCCATTGTAAACAAGTTACTCCATGGCACCCAGCTTTCACATACTTTCTGTCGTCTAGCTCAGCACTCCTCGTGCTCTAATAGCGCAAACATCCTCTTGTGTCCCTTACACCTAGCTCTCCCAGTGAGCTGGTTAAGCGGGGCCAGTTCCTACAGGAGTTTATTTGACACAGAGAGTAAACTCCAACTATTTAAAAACAGTTTTCAAAAAATACACTATACCACCTCATAAAAAAACCAGTCATTTCTTAAGATTAGCCTAATACTGTACTGCTAAAACCATTACAGAAGTAAAGGCACAGTAAGGCGTGTGTGTGCGTGTAGCTTTTACTTTTGTTCTTGCTGCCTGAGACGGTGGAAGGAGAAGCCCAGCTTGCTAAACGCTAGCGCCAACCCCTAGAAAGGCTGTGTCACTAGTTAGAAAGACGAGGCTTAAAGTCAGTGTTGCGGCCCTGGTATACGTGGGTGTTTACTTTGTCCACCCACTAGTGTCAACAACCAGAAAGTTAAAAAGGAAAGAAAAAGGGAAAGAAACCGAATTGCTTTTGCAGCCGTGCCCCTGCCCTGTTGGCCGCGCCGCTCGCCCGGCTGCCTCCTGCTGCGCTTTGCCCGGTGGGCGAACGGTG